AGATGGATTCTTATTCGTGCCGCTTGGCCTGTCCGTGCCTGGTTTTCCTCTCCTGCATCTTGTGCTCTTACGCTCCTTGAGAGACGAAGGCCTGTGCTGAGATCTGACACTAGCTCTCCACTGTCACTTTTCCCAGGCTTCTGGGCCTTCACCCTGGCCTGATAGATGCCCTCCTCTGGGAAGAGCTCAGCCAGGGATAAAACTGTATCTAAGCGTGGAGCAGCCAGTGTGCATCAGACACTGTACCAAGCGCTTTCATAGCCCAGTCTCGGGTGATTCTCACAGCAGCGTTAAAAGACAAGGGGACAGCAGCTCAGAGAAGCTGGGCGACTTCTCCCAGCCCACGTGGCTAGAAAGTGGCTAAGCTGGGTCTGTAACACGCAGTGGTCTGACTCTGAAACTTATGTTTTTCATTACATCACATCGCTCTGCAAACAGAAAATGCTAAACCCAGGACACACATATTTTTTAAATGTTGATCTTGTAATACATATAGTTTTTAAATGGAGGATATCAGAGCCCAGAGCAGGCAACTATAGCCACATTACAACGAAGTTACAGTAAAAGATGGATCGCTGGCCCCGTGATCACAAAGCCTGTGGCTGGGATCTCGGCCAGCTCTGAGACTGACACATGACCTCGGGAGTCAGCTTTTCCTGTCCTCGCAGCAGTGACAAATTACTACCTGACCCCACCTCAGTTTCACAGGAACGGTATGAAATTTTACCTTTAAAAAATCTGCAGTGTACCAAGTTCAATTCCTCGGACTTTGAGAGAAGTATTTCAGAAATGTGTGTTGATATGCCATAGATTCCAATTTTAAGCTAAGTTTACGGCCCAACTTTTGGACACACATTTGGTAAAGAGCACAGATATGCAGTGTTCCGAGGTGGTGACTTTACAATTGTAAGAAAGTGAGTCTCTTATCTGTGCCAAGGAGGATGGTGAAACTCTGGGGCTCCATAACTTAATGATGACACAGAGCATCCCCGGAGGTAGCCTCATGGGGAGATAAGGAGGTGGAGAGTAAGGCAAGAGAGAAGTTATAGGATTAGAGATTGTGAGTTTATTTGATGCCTGAAGATGGAAGGTTTGAAGGGTATCTTTGTATTTATGGACTCAGAAAGTATCCCCAAATTATTTGCTGGATGACATAAAATTTCATATGAGAAAAGGAAAGAAAATAGGATTCAATGATAGTACGTAAAGAGGTTATCTGGGAAGCGCTTTCCGACAGGCCAGATTCTAAAACATTTGAAGAGGTTACTGTTGGAAAGGGGCCTGCTTTTCCCAGCAATTATTACAGAAGGGATGAACACAGACCCAGATGGACTTGACCAGGGACGGTGCCACCTCGTGGCAGAGGAGACCAGGTACTTTCTGGAGGGACCTTCCACCCTGTTCTCTGAGGCTTAGTCACAGGAGCTCAGCTCCTGACTTTGCGGCTTGGGCTCTGGGGTGAGATGCTGCCCTCTAGTGCCCTGCTGCTCCACCCTCAACAGCATCTCACTGCCCAGATGCCAGTCTAATTAGGAACCCCCAGCATCGTGGTGTCGGTCCTCCACCCAGACAGAATCGCCCTACATAGCAAAGCCATTCAGAAAACATTAAGCTGTTTGTTGAATTAAAATATCCTTCTGAGAAAACTATGAGAGGAGCCAGTCCAGTGTTGGGATGTGAGGATGTCGAGTTCCCTTACACGGCCCTGAGTGTGGACCGCACAGGGGTGCAGTGGGGAACACGCAGAACACCTGGTCTGGGTATCTTTATTGGGCAGACACAGTCCAAGGGGTGCAAGGTACGGGGAGGGGTGGCAGGTCTAAACTTCATGCTGAGTTTCTAGCCCCGCCTCGTGGGTGCAGGGGTTGGATGTTTGGGAGTTCCAGACAGGATGGAGAATTTCTTGGTGGGCAAGTTGAAGAAGGCATTTCAACTAGCAAAATGGAGTGACACAGACAGTCTTTAAATCTCCCCTTATGCCTGACTTTGAGTTCCTTGAAGGAAGGCAGGGTTTTCACCATTGTATCCTGCCTGACACAGTGCCTGGTACCTAGTCCAGACAGATACTCAGCTAGTGCTTTGTTGAATGAATGAATATATTCACTTACAATTTCCCTGGGAGAAGAAAACTAGTCCAAATAAATAGTTAATTAATAGGTTGAGAGAGAAAAAGAGAACAGCTCCTGACACTCAGAACCTCGCCTGGCAACTGCACTGCCATGTTATTCTCCCATTGCTCATAAACTCACGGAATGCCAACCTTGGGCAAGGTTACGAGGCGACTATGACCAAATGAGACACAGCAAGGCCACCTCATAATTTTGTCTAAGCACAGACGAAAATAAGGTCAGTGTGCCACCCACAGAACACCAAACACCCGTCCCTCAGCCACAGCGAGGGCTGCTGCTTCTTTACAACCACAGGCTTGTCTCTCCCTCCTGCAGATAAGACCTAATCGTAGACCTGCCTGTCTGCTTCCTGGCAGCCTCCAATCTAGGGCAAAGCCCCATTTCCTTAGATGTTCCCCCAAACCCTCAATAAGCTCTTTCTAAGCCCCTCTTCCTGGGACACTCCACCGCTCCTGGTCTGGACTCTCACTCACTACAACCCTGCTTGTTTAGCTCCAGGGCTGCTTCTGCGAGTGTTTGGCCGAAGGGCACTGACCAAGTAAATGTTAAGGAGAAACAAAAAGAACCCCAAGTGCAGCGTGGATCCTGTAAGGATCCCAGGGCTGTGAGGGTTGTCTTCGTTACAGAACACTTCCTGAAAGAGGAAGGGTCTTATATATTAACACCCGATAATACTTCCCTAGGCGTTATCCTAAGCACTTCACAGACGTCATTTCATCACGCAAGGTAGCGCTATTACTATCCCTACTGACACATGAGGAGGTGAAGCACAGAGAGGTTAAGTAATCTCCCCCGGGTCAGACAGCTGGCAAGTGGTGGCGCTAGGGTTCAACTAGGTCCTCTGACCCCAGAGCCCAAGCCTCAGATAAACAGGACTCTGAAGGTAGAAGGAGGTATGTAGCGTGTGTTCTGGGAGGGCAGGAGGGGGCAGACAGGAAGGCATGAGCAAAGGCCCGGGGGCAGGAAGTAACAACTCTGCCTAACGCGCATCTGGACATTTAGTAAGTTGAGTAAACATCCTCGCAAGCCCCGCTGCTGTCCCCAGGTAACCCCAGTGCTGGCCGGGCTCCCTGAAGGCCGGCTCCCAGGGCCAGGGCCAGTGCGGGCATTAGGGCAACACTTTCTGGTTCTTTAAGTGGCTTTGATCCTGTCACCTTCACTTTAATGATAAAAAGGGCTCCATGGGCCTCCACCCACACCTCGTCCCTCATCTCCCGGAGCCTGGTAGGGTAGCTGGGTGTGGCCAGAATCCAGAATCCACCTAACTAACGCCCACCCCCCTCTTTTGGGTCTCCACATCCAGATGTCACTCCTTAGGGAAGCCTCCTCTGACGCCCGGGATAGGTTAGATCTCTTTGTCACAGGCTCCCGAGTGGCCTCAGCTTCCCTTTTGGTGGCTCTTGTGACAGTTCAGGATGTGTCCTCCTGCTGGACGGTAGGTCCCGCGAGGGCAGGGCTGTGTTGGGCTCGGTCACTGCCGGGCGCACCCCGGGAACTCAGAGTCGTGAACTCAAGGGGGAACAGACTGAGTGGCGGGAGATTCGGGGAGAACCAGGTCAATCCCTTCCCTTCCCGTCCCAAACGCTTGCTTCCTGGGCCCCAGTCAGGTCAGGTGTTGCCTAGAGAAATCCACCCACGGGCTTTTCTTCTAACAAGAGTCCGGTCAGTCCTTCACAAACTTCACCTTCTGAGAAGTGACCTTCCCCCTCTGGTGAGTTATCCAAGGTGACACGGAGCCAAAGAGCAAAGCCAGAAAGAAAACTCAGATCAGCACTCTCAAGATGGGGCTTGATATGTATAAGTATAGCTGATTCCCTTTGTTATACAGCAGAAACTAACACACCATTGTAAAGCCATTATACTCCAATAAAGATGTTAAAAAAAAAAAGGTGGGGCTTGATTTTTTTTTTTTTGGCTGCATGGCTTGCAGGAGTTTAGTTCCCAGACCAGGGATCAAACCCGTGCCCCTTGCAGTAGAAGCGTGGAGTCTTAACCACTGGACCGCCAGCGAAGTTCCTTGATCTTTTTCTTAAAGGAATAAAGAGGAGGAACTGGGCCGGCATACTGATTCTCTCAGAATGCCATCGAGCGTGGACTTAGAATGCCTGCAGCTTCCACGTGTGCCCCAAGGAGATACTAAAGTGTTAGGAGCCTCTCAGGACAAGGTATTTCTTAAACAGGAACAGGAAAACACAAGAAGCACCATCTGGATTTATGGTTAAGATTGCAGAGATGATCTGAATTCAATTCTGGATTGTGACTCTCCTGAGCTGGCTTAAACAGTGAGATGAGAGCCGGAATCAGCTCGCTGTGCAGCGTCTCCACAGAAGGTACAGCAAAGCTAAAAGGCTGCAGGGAACACAAATGTCTTTGGCAAGGCCCTATGCTCCGTTCTCACAAGAAACCAGTGCTAATTTCTTAGATCCACAGCCACACAGGGAGAAAGTTCAAATAAAAGCCAAGTTCATAGCCTGCAGGGCTGAGGAACGGAAGACAGGAAATTAGAGTTGAGAAAACGCATTACATAATCTTACAGCAGGAGGCCGAGCTGAGTCACAGCAAGGAAGGAGCCGGCAGGTGTCAGGAATATAAGCAAGACACCTTCTGACCTGGGATGGATGGAGCCCAGGGCAGCAGAGGAGGGGGCAGGGGAAGAGAGGGACCAAACCAGCTCCCCAGCTAGCTCCCAGCCTGGAGTCTGGGAAAACATGAGAAGAAAACTACTCCTGCGGAACAGTGAAGGTTAAGGATGAGCTATGAACACCTTTCCAAGACGTTTGGGCTCACCTCTCCCTTATACATCACTCTCTGGGCTCACCTCTCCCTTATACATCACTCTCACTGACCAGGCAGCCCCCGAGAACCAGGTACCTCATATTTCTTTAAAACGTTCCTTTCTTCCATCAGCGGTGCCCAAGCATCATGATCCAATTATTCACAGGGAGTGAGGCAGGGCGGCTTGTTTCACCAAACCTCTTCCTGCATTTAGTGCAAAGGGGTAAAATGAAGCAAAATCACTTTGCTAAAGCTTCTGATCAAAAATTATGTTTGACAAGGCTTTTGTTTTTCTTTTCCTTGCTATCTTTTCATTACCTTTCCTTTTTCTCTTTACAAGTACAGAATGTATACTTTCATCTAGAAGTGGACTGTTTTATGCAAAATAAAATGTTTGTTGAAAAATAAATAAAACCGCCTTCCCTGGGGCCAGAGGGCAGTCTGGGACAGAAGCACGACCAGGACCGCTCACTATTAAGACTGTTTTTAGCACTGCTCCTGGTGACCCGGGAGGTGACCTCAAATGCCTGGATGGCTTAGGCACAATTCTGTAAAGATGTCACTTTTCTACATCATCAAAGCTCAGGTGAATTTTCATCATAATGAATCTCAATAATAGTCTGGCATTTAGACAGACTGGGACACGGTTTTAGCGAACGGAAATCTTGACTGTTTCCATGGGTAGATAAGCCTTAGTCATTCTGCTTTGCATTTCTCGCAGCTCTACAATTAAGGTATCTTTGATACCTTCCTTTTTGGCCAACAGAAGCTTAAAAGATTAAGTGAAAAAAAAAAAAAAAGATTAAGTGAAATGTCTAACGTACTTCAAAAGGACATACCGGGAGTGGCTGGACGTTGGTGGACTCAGGAAGCTTGCTCTTCGGGTGACGGCCGACACCCTCCAGAATGCTCCTCTGTGCCAGAAGCCACTGAGAGCAAAGGCGCCAGGCCTTGGTCTATTTCAGAATTTTCAGTTGCACGGAGTAAATGCTGTTCCCCACGGGTTATATGCTTAGCTAGTGCTCGTGATGATTCAAATTGAGAGCAAGGGTCTTCCCCCACCTGCAAGTCGGTTACATAAGAGTTACAGGAAACCACCACCTCTGGAGTCCATTAAGTTTGAGCTGAAAACTTAGATTTAAATAACGCAAGGTGGAGATGAGACACAGGAATCACAGAAACAAATATATGGCACACACAGACCTCCAGGACCTGCTACGGAAAGCTTTAATCACTCCACGTAGAAACAATACATTCATACATCCAACATGGCTCCCAAGTCTTGACCACCCTCACTGGAGCAGTCTATTGTATTTTGTATTTGGCATTAATACAAAACCTTCCTGTTCGTTACGGCCAAGATTTAGGAGACTGTTTCTTATAAACACGGTTTTTTTTCACCCTGAGGCTGATTTTACCAAAGTGGAAAAGAAGAGTTACTATCAGCTGGAGTGTATTTAATGCAGAATTTTAAAAATCATTTACTCATGACTCTGGAATGTTTCTCTCCCCGCTCCCACCCCCAACACTACGTGAGGACGAGAGAAAGGTGGCAAACGGCGGCGTCCGGTGTGATTACACTGACGATACGATTCTCAACTCCATCTACTGATGGGAACAAAGGGAACACTAACGTTGATGAACTCAACACTACCACGTTTAAAAAGGTCATCACGATCAGCCCTTTCTTATAAAAGGGGAGTTGGAGTAGGGTCTCAGACATGAATAACAGCACAGTTGTTACTTACAGTGTCTATTGCAGGGCACTCTGCCTACTAGAGATGAGCCAGCTAGCGAAGTGCAGAGTTCACACCGGTTGCCTTGCAAGTTTCAACCTTGGGCTCTTAGTCTCCTGTAGATCAGATCGGCACGTGTCCAAAGGAGTAACAACCCCCAAAGCTACAACAGTTACCCCATTCAAGTGATACAAGAGGCAATCATGTTAAGTTGGAAAAAGAAAAAAAGGTAGCCGTGTTGAAGTGCGGACCATTTTGACATCATTTTGTATGCAAATAACAAGCAAGCAGAAGAAAGAGCTTTTCAGAATCTGACTCCCTGATGTCTCTAAGGTCCTCTTTTGGGAGCGAGTCCGGAGCAGCGGTGTGCCACCTCCCACAAGGCAGCCTGGTGACTTTCCCGCCTTTATTTCCCTGATGACCTCGGCGTGTTTCTAAGATGTGTCCTTTCCAAACACTAACAGCGCTTCATCGAAACCGGCTGTTAGTCTGCACATCAGAATTGGGAAACGTTTGTTGTCACTTGACTGCAAAGTATTGGACATGCAACTTCCTGAGTACTAGGTACTCCCCATGCACGGCTGCACAATCCCGTGTGCTCTGGGCTACGATGAGGATCTGGGGGTATGTGGCAGCTGAAGAATTACACACCTCATCATGCTCCCTACTCCTTATTTGTATTATTTCTAGATGCCTTCCCAGTTCAAGCGAGGGAACGGGCGTCCCAGGCATAGACATTTACTGGATTTTTCTTGAGAAGTTAAATTACGTTCACTACCTTTCAGCCCAAACTGAGTGAAGATGATGGAGAGGGAATTTAGTATTAAACTGAGTTAGAAAAAGGTTTCTCAGAAAAGATACCAGTGTTCTTTTTTTTTTCAGGTAGAATCATAGAAAATCAAGGTTGGAAAAACACTTAACAGTCATATGGCCAATTCCCCCACCTGACACCCAAACTCCTGTGTAACATCTCTGCCTCGTTGCCGTCCAGCCTCTGCTAGAATAGCTTGAGGGGCAGGAAGCTGTTCCAACATCACTTAGCCCTCCTTAAAACAGAATAGCCAAACAGATGCAGCAGGTAAACAAACTTCCACTGGGCGTGATTATGCATTATACCTAACTTTTCAAGAGAGTTAGCAGATTGTCAACTGCTGCTCAAAAGAATAACCCAGACTTGTTCCAAGCATCCCAGGCTTTCTGGGGAGGCACAATTTAGAAGTGTGAATTTTATAAATCATTGCTGAATAGCTGTGTGTGTGGGGGCAGCAGGTAAAAAAATCTCTTAGAAGTAATCATTGTAGGGACCCCAAAACAAAGGGAAAGTATGTGTTTTAAATAATAAATAAAAGTTTCATTCTGAAGATGCAATAAAAGCCTTGTGCAGTAAGTCTTGGTGCAAGAATTCAGGAGCGCTGGGGGACGACGCGCGGGCTGATCACAGTCATTTCAGCAGAAGAGGAGGAGAAGGGCGAGGCCGGGTGCGCAGCCTGCCGCCCGAAGGCACCGGGAGCAGGGCGCCCTGTCCTGACCCTCCCCTTCTGGCTTGTCTGGCAGCACTGCCAACGATTCTCTTGTTTCTATTTTCCTCAAGGTACTCAGGCTGCTTCAAGGTTTTGAATTCCACCCCCCTTCGGAAGACTAACACGGCAACACGTAGATCGGTGCACCATCATCTCAGAATTCGTTTACAAAGGCTCAGTTCCTCTGAAGGGACACCTTTATGCCTATATTTTTATTTTTTGAACATATATATGAATCAGTCTATTTGAGCTGAAAACATTTACCCTGAAGACACGGATGTAAACGTTAAAGATGGAGGGACTCAGCTGATTGCGTTCTGAGCGCTGCCTTTCACCCCAGGTGTTAAAACAGCAATGGTATCGATCTGTAACAAAGATGAGTAATGGACAAAAACAAACAACAAACCAACCCTAAAGTCAGCATGTCTTTTTATAGGGCGGCCCCTTTCTTTCATATCTGTTTCAAAACGATCAGACAATTAACATTGAGCAGCTAGGTGACCGGCAAGCAGATCTCCCTGCGAAAAATAAAACTTCTTCGGCCATGGCAGCTTGGAAATGAAATCAATGGAAGTCTATCAAGTACTCGGGGTAGATCTGGTTGGCGTCGAACACCACGAAGACCCTGGGATTCCAGGTGTCATCCACACAGCTGTCATACAAATTCACGTAGCTCCCGTCTTTGGAAGGAGGGCGCACGTATTTGGAGTCTCCGTTTATGTAATCTCCAATCAGCACTCGGGCAAGAAACATAGATTTGTGCGTTCTAAACAGATGCTGCTGTTGCAGGGTTACGCCGTGAATCTGGAATGTGTTTCCGTGCTTTACGTCATCCTTGCAGAAGCGGCTGGCATAAGCAGCATCTCGAGCAAAATAGGTTCCTTAAACAAAAGGAGCCCGAAGAGCCAAGATTACTCCAAGGAGCGTAGGAAACACAAGCAAAAAAACACTGCGATTGTGAGGGGGAGAGACACACAGAACTGTGTAACAGGAATAGACATGGAATTTCCTCGCCGGTAGGTTTTAAAGAAAAGAACAGAAATCCGTCTGTTATGGACAGCTGTGATGCAGGCTGCCACTGGGATAGATCTGTTAGTACAGACCAGAGTCCCCACCACCACCACCACCATCCCCGTCCCCACCAAAACGTAGCAACCAGACTTGTGCTTTCAAAAAGAGCCTTATAAAGAAATCCAGTACGTAAGATGGATACAAATGGTTTCTGTGATTACAAGTGACAGGACCTGCCTTGTCACTGCTCGAACCTCCCTCCCACTTCTGTTTCCTTCCACCCTTTCCCCATCCACCACCCACCCATCTAAGCATCCACTGGGGAGCACAGTGAAACCATGGGTCTGCAGAGGTGATTTCAAACCCCAAGAAACCACATTTCTGTGCTACCGGGTAACTGTTCAATAATATTTCTGGAGCTGAGAGAACCCCATATCCAGGAAAAGGTTTCTGGAGAGTGTGATCCTATTCACACCTGAACGTTCCAAAAGGACAAGCTCACTTGTCCGCTGCCTAAAGAGGAAACCTCCACGAAGAATCCGACTCTTCCAAAGTGGTAGGCCTAGGAGGCTGACATCGTGAAGGGAATACTTACCCTAAAACATTGCGGAAATGAACTGCAAAGTCTCCTATTACCCAAATCCGACGGGACTTAATGTAACACCTTTCTGATCCTCTTACAGTTAAATAAATGGGATGGCCTTTAAAGTCGCTATTTTAAAAATTAATTTACTCTTAAAAATGTAGCACCTCATGGGCTTCCCTGGTGGTGCAGCGGTTGAGAGTCCGCCTGCCGCACGGGTTCGTGCCCTGGTCTGGGAGGATCCCACATGCCGCGGAGCGGCTGGGCCCGTGAGCCACGGCCGCTGAGCCTGAGCGTCCGGAGCCTGTGCTCCGCAACGGGAGAGGCCGCAGCAGTGAGAGGCCCGCGAACCGCAAAAAAAAAAAAAAAAAAAAAAAAATGTAGCACCTCCTGATCCTGAGTGGTAGCCAGTTCTCTTGCTGGAGGGAAGGTACAAAATAAGGACCAAGCAAAGAAATGTCCACCCCTTACCTTTTCCCCTCCTCTCTCTCCTTAATTTGCTTGAGTAGTGAGCACAAACTGGAGAACTTAGACTTTCACAACATTAGAAAAAAGGTGAGGATTTCCCCCATGCTCATTAATATTCCTACCTATCATTTTTTTAAAAACAAAACAAAAAAAAATAGACCTACGTACAATGTACACATTAATTGATTTATTTTATAGTGCTCTATGTACTTGACATAAAACAGTTCAGTGTATGGGTTTATCCATGGAAAGGACTTATGCATGGAAAGTAAACGTCATAATGCAAAAATCAGCTAATCTGGACATGATGCCCCATCTGAATGACTGGGACTTGGAGGGTTATCTAATCTGGTAGAGGTGTAAAAAGTCTTCCTTCCATCTTGCACACGCAGGAAGTGGCTTTTCGGTGTCTCAGAAACTCTGAGGGTGTGCCAGGAACCCAGTACAGTAACTTTTAACTTAGTGACTCTCAAGCCCCTGAGATACAAACAGTCAATCCTCTCTCAGGAGAGGAGATTCTCTTCTAGCGCTCCAACTGGATTCTGATAGTTACCTTTTCCAAAGAGAGCACCGTGTATACCATTGATTCTCCAATCAAAGTTATGAATGCAAATTGCTTCCACAAATTCACTGCTGGTGCCATGAAACAGCATCTGTTCATTAATCTGAGGCACACCTCTTTTTTTCTTGAGCTGAGCCTTTTTCCTAAAAACACAATACACAGACACAAAACACACAGATATCTACCATAAGTGGCATTATTAATTTTTCAAGGAGCAAACCTCAATAGAAAGGGTAAAACAGAACACAGTTCTTTAACATACAACATAAGTGGACAAATAGCTCTGGAAAAAAAAAATAATCTCAAATGATCTTGGACACATAAATCATCTCATCAAAAATTATTAGTTAATATTGACACTGAATGTTGAAAATTATACCAAAAACTATAGATATCCCAGACAATGCCCCATCATAGTAAAGTGACTGATCGCCTAAACCAGCCAAGCTTTACAGACGCCTAAAAATGACACTACAAACAGTAAATAATACATAGTTCACAGAGTCTTTAAACAGTGAATTCCTTGAGCACGGACCATGCCTTAATCTTTTTATCCCCACAGTAGGACATGTTGGTTAAACTGAACGGAACTTTGCATCTTAGGGCTGGAAGGGACATGAAGCCATCCAGTTCAAACCTCTTGCCAATGGACAATCCTCTTCCAACACATAAAATGCTATTCAATGTAGGACTTATTGTAATAGTAAAAAAACAAACAAACTGAAAACAGCCTAAAATTCTTTCACAGCAAAATGAATAATTATATATTTATACATGAAAGTTAAAATAATGAACTAGATCTATATGTATTAACATAGATACCTCTTGAAAAATAATGTTTAATGTAAAAAGAATGATGTAAAAAGAGACCTCTATCTCAAAATAATAATGCATATTGTAGAGGTATACAAACATAGGTAGTAACAAATATAAAAACATGGATAAGAAGGTATCACAGCAACTTGAGGGGGAAAGAAGGAGGAGAGGATGGGGATGGGGGAAACACTCC